GGAGCCAGAGGCGAGCGTGGAGGCCCGGGGCCACGGGTAGGTACTGCCACAGTCCCCCCGCATCCCCCCGTGTCCCACCACCAGGGACAGGAAATCCCACAGCACAACCTCGAGGGGACAGCGAGCCAGCACCACACCTGTCCCCGGGGTGGGGTGACACTGGGGGTGCACCCATCCCAGACCGCCTCTTCCCATCCCTTTCTTCTCACAGGGTGAAGACGGGCGCCCAGGGCCAGAAGGGGATCGAGGGCCGGCGGTAAATACCCCCCTCCCCAGCTGCACCCCCGGCTGGGTCCCACCTGAGCACCCCTCTCCTCTCTCCTGCAGGGCTTGCCTGGGAACCGGGGAGAGCGCGGGGACAAGGTAAGGGACCCTGGGGGCTGGGGAGCTGGAGGGAGCAAATGATGCACCTCCAGGGATTGGGGTCCCTGGAGAGGTGCTGCCTGCTCCCTGCTGTGCATCCTTCGCAGCATCTCACCATCTCCCCTTCCTTGCAGGGAGACTCTGGGGCTCCTGGGCCCAAAGGAGACAAGGTGAGTCCTTGGGTTGGGGGACAGCAGGAGGGAGGGCAGCAGTGCTGAGCTGCTGCTCACCCCCACCTCTCTCCTTTGGGTGTGCAGGGCGATACTGTGGTGGTGGAGGGGCCTGCCGGAGCACGGGGCAGCAAGGGCGAGCCAGTAAGAGCTGTCCCCATCCTCCCTGTCCCCCTCTGTGTAATCCCTCTTGTCCTGATGGGCAGGGGCTCTCCTGTGCATCCCCCTCCCCAAGGTCCTGCCTGCCCTGCTCCTGGCCCAGGGCAGCTCCCAGCCCTACGGGGTTGATCCTGCACCCCCCTCCCCTGAGCGGCGCAGAACAGCCCCCCTCTGCCTGCCAGAAGAGTTGGGGGAGCTTCTCACTGCTGAGGGACCCTCCCTCATGGAGCATGTTGTCCCCTCTCCTTCAGCCATCCTATGGACACCCGTGTCGCTGCCTCAGGGGTGGTCTATCCTCCCCACCCCAACGTGTGTCTAAGTGTCTCCCCATCCCCTGACCCCTCCCTGTGTTTCCCCCTTTGCAGGGAGAGCGTGGCCTGAAGGGCATGGAAGGGGACAAGGGGGACAAGGGGGAGCAAGGCATGCCTGGAGAGAAGGTATGGGGCCAGGGAGGCTTGTGCAGGACTGGGGGGTGCTGGTTTGGGGACCACGGAGGGCTGCAGATGGGGCGATGGACAAAGGGACCAGAGTATGGTGGCATCCCTGTGCCCCATGTGGTGCTGCTTGAGGGCACCCTGGCATGGTGCTTGGCATCCCGGCAAGGGGAGCTGCTGGAGCCGGCCTTGGAGGCCACCATGGCCATGCCGTGGCCACGCTATGGCCAGAGCTCGCTCTCCCACCCAGTGTTGATCTGGGTTTCTACTTGCAGGGGGTGAGGGGCGAGCAAGGTGAGAAGGGGTCCACGGGCTTCCCTGGGGCACGCGGCCCTGGCGGGCAGAAGGTGAGGACCTGGGCACCCCCCACTGCTGGGGGGTACTGGGGGGGTGCTGAGGGCACTGTCCCACTCACCGGCCCTGACTGATGCTTTTTCCTTCTCCAGGGAGAGGTCGGAGCATCGGGAGAGCCTGGCGAGCCGGTGAGGAGCTGCATCTTGATGCCGCTGACACCTCTCCATGGGGCAGCAGCGGACCCCTGTCATACTGTGTGCTCTCCTGCAGGGCCAGCCTGGTCGTGACGGGATCCCTGGACCCCGGGGAGAGAAGGGGGACATGGGACCCCTGGGCATGCGTGGCCCCAAGGTGGGTTGGTCCCTCTGACCACTGGTGCTCTCCTGGCTGGGACCCGCGCCGGCTCGGCATGGCTCTGACTCCCCTCCTCATCCTCGCAGGGTGACCGGGGCATGAAAGGCGCCTGCGGCCTCGATGGGGACAAGGGCGAGAAGGTGAGTGGGTGCCCATGGGGTGCCGCAGGAGCCCGGACGGTGCCTGGAGGCTGCGGCCCTTTGGATCCCCTCCGCCAGCTGGGGGGGACAGGGAGACCCGGACGTGCCTCGGGTCCCCCCCCTCTGCCCACGGCTCTGGGACGATCGTTGAGGGGTGCAGGACTGCCCGCCCTGCCTCTCTCCTGCCCGCTGTAGGGAGAGCTGGGGATCCCGGGGCGCTCGGGCCTGCCAGGGAGGAAAGGCGAGCCGGTAAGCACCGCGCTGGTGCCGGGGTGGGACGGGGACGCACGGCTGGTGGCTGATGGACGTCTGCTTTGTCCCCCAGGGAGAGCTGGGTCTGTCGGGACCACCAGGCATCCCTGGGAAGGAGGGCCTCATGGGACCCAAGGTAGGTCAGGGCAGTGCCAGGAAAAGCTGTGCTGGCACTTCTGCCCCCCACTGCCTGCCCCCCACTGCCTGCCCCTTCCTCTTTGCAGGGTGACCGGGGATTCGATGGGCAGCAGGGAGCCAAAGGAGACCAAGGGGAGAAAGGAGACCGGGTGAGTGGGCTGGAAAGGGATGGTATGCATTGCATTGCACCACATTGCTTTTACCAGGATCCAGCCTTGGTTTGAAGCCTGTCAGAGCCTGATGCTCCCAGAAGGGCCATCTGGCACTTCTCTAAATTATGGCCATAAACTATGAGTGACAACGAATCCCCGCTCTTTACAAGAAGGCACTGGTGCCGATGCTTCAGGGATGCCCAGCTGCGGGGTCAGAGGATGCCCAAGGCGCCGCTCTGGGCCACCCCCGGCCTCACCCTCTGCTCTCCCACAGGGTGCTCCAGGCATTATTGGTGGCCCTGGTCCCCGGGGCAGTGATGGTACTCCTGGCCCTCCCGGGCCCCCAGGGAGTGTTGGCCCCCGAGGTCCTGAGGGCATGCAGGGCCAGAAGGTGAGTCCTCACCATGGGTGGCTCTGTCTCTGCAGTAGGTGAGGGTTTGGTGCCACCAGGAGCAGTGTCCCAGCTCTGTCCCTGACCTGCTAGCTTACTGGCTTTGGGGTCCTCTCTTGTGTCCCACTGCCAAGGGGATGGGGCTTGGGGGCTTGGGGACCTTCTTGTCATAGAGCTGGGCTGGACCCATCCCCATCCCTGTCCCCACCTGGGCAGGTGTCCCCGGGGTGTGGGGCATGGGGAAAGGAGCACATCTGTGACACTGGGGAGGGGAGAGAGGCTCCGGAGCTGCCAGCCAAATCCTGAGCACGTGTCCTTTGCAGGGGGAGAGAGGCCCTCCTGGACAGTCAGTGCCAGGGTCCCGTGGCGTGCCTGGCATCCCTGGAGAGAGAGGAGAGCAGGTGGGTGAGCGGGTGCCTGGCCTGGGTGGGTGAGCCCCAGCCGGGGCCAGCCTCTCACCTCCCCT